CAGGTACAACTCTCAGCTGCATCCTGCTCCATAGATGCCACATGAGGCATCAACGTGTTTCAGCTTTGAGTCTGTCTCCTGCCCTTTCCCACCCTCTTTTGCAGGCCATAACAAGGACATAGCTGGACCATGCCCTCAGGGCAGCAATGGGAAGGTGTCTAGAACAGCTGACAGGTGGTTCTCAATACCCGCCACGCTTTGGAGCAGTTCTTGGTGGTCTCGAGTCAGGCACAACAGTAAAATCACTTGTGTGCCTGCCTGAACAACACAGACAAAACCAGAGATCACTGATTTTGATCTTTAAAATCCTTTCTAGGCAGACACAGCCTGTTTCCATTGACTCAGTTCAGCTGAGGCAGGAGGGAAGACACGAGATTCATTCTCACCACTTTCTTGACATTCTAATTTAGCAAAAGAGCCCTCCAGGAGTGTGAGTGGCATTGGCTGGCAGTCAAGCTGGGCAGAGGGGGGCTTGGGGAAGAATGTGTTTCCCTGTGTGAATCGTGGCTGAAGGGGCTCCAGCATGAGAGACGTGCAGTTTCAGTCATGAGTAGTAGCGGTGCAGTTGTGGTGAGGGTGGGAGTGTTAAGTAGTCTTGACTTCCAGCAGTGGCTTGATATTTTTTTAATGACATCTTTGTGGCAGATATATTTGATTCAGATGCACTTCAGAAATAATTGCCAGTTAATTAACCTCATTCTATGGAACGATGGTTTTTGCTGCAGGGGATTCTACCGGAGATTTTGAGCTTCCTTTCCTGTAAATCTTCTGTCTATTGTTTTGTTACATCTCTTTTTCCTGAATATACAAAGATTACAGATCCTTCCCCTTCACACAAGGCTCTCAAATACACAGCCATTCAGGCAGAGTTAGGTATACAGGCAGAATTACTTATTTTGAAGATTATATTGGGCAAAGATAGACGAAAATGCTAAATTTAGAACCTCAGTCTACAAACAAGTTTCCTCGTGGTTAGGCTTCTGTATAAGCTTGGTCTCACTGATGTCATTTGGAGTATTCCTGTGGATAAAGCTGTAATAGGTACAAATAATTAAAGGAATGGGTCTTAAATCTGTATTAAAAGTAGGATGGACAGATTTTGTACTGACAAAGATCTGTTTTCTTACCAGTATCAAGAATTCCCAGTGCTGCAGAAAAATGCAGAGCACAGCATTGTCCGTGCCATTAAAAATCTACAGGCAAGTGTCTTTGCTTTAAAACGCGATGACACTTTTTCAGCATTGCAGCAGCAGCTTATGGTTATTTAATGCCATTGAAGGTTGCAGTCATGCACCTTGATGAGCACAGTCAGACCCTGTCCTTGCTTAGAGCGCCACTGAAATCAGCAAGGCTTTGGGTGTGCTCAGAACTGCCAGCACAGATTGCACTGCAGGACTGGGAATTTAGGAGTAATTTCTGTCTTTTTCTATCCATAAGTGAGTGCTTTTGAGACCAAAAAAAGCAAGAGTCTGTGTGAGGGTGTGATAAGGCAGAATGTGAACTCAATGAGAGAGCAAAACATCTTTCCTAAAGATACAAGATAGAAAAGCTGCCACTTTCCTTGTTTATACAATGACTTGTCAGATCTTGCAGTTAAAAATGTGCCCTGTTCCTAATTTAAATATCTGGCTTCAGCTCATAGTCACTAATCTTTGTCATTCTGGTTTATATTTTTCTGCCAGTTTGGGCTGAACATAGACCTGGTGCAAAGCATGTTTTTCTTGATGAAAATACTTGTGCCAGATTCTGCCCGGATATTTCTGTAGTTCTGTCACTGAGCTTCTACTCTAACTTTGAGTGAAACAATTAACTACTTGTCCTGGAAAAAAAGTGAATGGTAAGATTTAGCAAACAAGGCCATTTGCAGTGTTAAAAGCACATTTGTCCAGCATTTCAGAGTCCTCCAAAGGAAAATGCTACTGAAGCTGGTGTGCTGCTCTGTGAATGTCTGCTCACAGAGACCAAAAGCTTTGTGCAGCACTTGGAAGATGAAATACTGCACCAACTGAGTTTTTGTTGGCTGTACTGATCAAGCTTATTTTATCTTTCACTTACGCTTCTTACTTTCTGTAAATCCTCTCAGAAATTACCATGCTTTATTCCCATGCAGCCAAAATCTCCCCAGGAATGCAGGACATTGGTCACTGAACCTCACTATCCATGCACAAGTAAATGAATTATATGATTCAGTGACTGCCAGATATACTGCTCCCTCTCTCACGTTAAACTCCCACATTTCTCGTTCCTCTTTCTCTCTCTCTCTCCCCCTCTCTCTCCTTTTGTAATTACTCTCATATTTTCTCTGTCCGCAGTGCTAGGGATTATACACATGGTATTTCTGGTGCCAAGCTGTACCGCTGCCTTCCTGTTTTTACCAAAGTTTTCTCTGCAGGAAAGGAAGAAGCATGGTCACTGCTTGGCTGCTGGATGAAAGATGAACAGCATGACTGAACAACATGCCATGGGGAGCAGAGAGCTTGAGGCAGCCTCAGTGCAGTGCTCTTGTAGGCACTTAGAAACCATACACAATGGGAAGCATATGCAAGATCGCTGGCAGAAGCCATCACATCACATTTAGTTTCTCTCTACTGATCATGTGTGAGATATGTTTAGAGAGATTTTTTTTTCTCCCTTGTTTTAATGATAATGGAGGCTGGGGCTTGTTGCCTTGGAGTTTTTGATTCTTTAATTTTTATAGGTTTTAGAAGTAGTTATGTAGTGAATGTAGATTTTAGAAGTAGCTGTATTATATCCCTTACCCTTTAGCATAGTAGTTACACATATACCCAACCCTATTACCCCAATTCCATATCAGTTCCCCTAAATTCCAGTAGCATATTTAGTCTTCTTTTCAAGGTAGGCCTTCATTCTGTTTAAGAACATCTGCCCCCTGGCCTGGACAACAAGATATCACCCAGGACTTTGGAAAGCCTCCAAGGACTTTACGTGCTGCAAAGAAGAAGATGAGGAAAGAGGGTCCCAAAACACCCCCAGACTCAATTCCCAAGGGGCAGGGCGGGGGCAGAATGGGGCAAAGGCCGGGGGATGGACGAGCGGGAATTGGCTGGACATCATTATAAAATTATAACGCCCGGGTCAGGGGGTGCACGCATGGTTTGTATCTTCATTAAAACCTTCCCTTATCTTACCACCTCCTTAAATTGCCCCCGAGTTTTTTTCTCCCTAAATCTTTTGGGTAACAGGCTGGAAAGTCACGATTTTTGGCAAGGCCTGCAGGAGGCAATATGGAAAAAAGGAAGGGTCTCTCTGACAGAGCCAGCTTGCTGCACTGGCTCTGCTCCTACAGCAGACAGAAGGGTGGTGGAGAGGGTGGTGTTGTGAGCCCTCACGCAGCTCCACCCTGAGGTCTCTCTGTCTACCTCTACCAACTTTAGCCTGATGCTTCCCACAGGCACAGGTGCCCTAATGCTCCTCACTTCTCTGCATGCCACTGTTTCCAGGCATGCTGGAATGGCAAAGAAACAACATGGGGCAATAGAGAGAACAAGTATTAAGGAAGGAAAGCTGGAAAGAACAGCTTCCTGCCCCCAGCATCCTGCAGAGAGCTGGAAAGCCAATGTGAAGAGCTACTGACAGGGGAAGGGGTAATGATGAGAGTGCTGATCCCTGCAAGAGGGAACCAAATATCACTGCAAAACAGTTTGTACAGAGCTTTAGGCCAACAAATGGGGTTGTTTCAGTTGTGCCAAAATATATAAAATATATATATAAAATATATAATTTTATTGAATTTCTTGATACACTAAACAAAGTCGCATCTCTTTGAGTCCTGGGATAATGTGACCTTTTTTTAAAAAAACCCCATCTTTATAATAGAATTATGTTTCTGGATGTCATGGCTACAGGGAGAAGCTTCAAAACATGACTCATAAGTACTTCAAATACCAGAAAACAAAATGAAAGAGATTTCAAATTATTAGAAAACACAAACTAGTAATGTTAAGAGTCTTATTCATCTGAAATGCTTGCTTTTGGCAACATCTTGTCTCATCAGTTTTTAACTCCACCAGTTGCCAACGCAGACATTTGCCTTTCTGTGGGCACAGTATCTCCACAACACATCCACCCCAAGAGCTGAGACTGTAGGAAGGGTCTTGTCCAAACAAAGATTAATCATGAAACAGATGAGTTGGTCCATCAACACTTTTGCATATAATTTGATGTGCAGTTGCAATGTGTGCTCAGTTGTGTCTCCAAGAGAAGAGACAGTTTGGAGGACTGGATAGAGCCTGTTCACCACCATGTGCCTCTGCTTACTGTCCTCAAACCCCACAGGGGTTCGGAAATGTGATATTCAGGTACGTGGTGACAGACTCATTACAAAGGGATGAGAAGGAAGCTTTACCTAAGCATTAGTGTAGGATGGGATTTGGAGTTTCATTTTTACTGCAGAGACCGTTGAAACAAGATCCTTTTTAGTGGTGGGCTACCAATCACTGACAGCCACTGTCAGCAATGTCTTGACAGCTCGTTTCCCAGAATTTCATTAAGTTTTGAAAACTTAATGCACTACACCAGACACTCGAGCAATGATCACACATAGATGAATAGAGGTAAAGACACATCAAGGGACTAAACAGATCTGCTTCCCCAGGTGTGGAAATAGAGGTGTGTATTTTCATATAGGTTTGTATCCTATATTCCTGCACTTCCCCCTTCCACACCTCCTATTGCCATATCCATTTCACAGTGAAAGTCCACTTCTAACATGGCATGTCAGGTTCCTCATGTTTTCCTACTGATTAGGTGAAGACACTTGACGGTGTGTGATTTGAAACTCAGGCCAAGTAAAACAAGTAACCATTAGCTCCCCCTGAAACATCTCAATAAGGGCAGTTCTTTAGGTCTCTTTCCTCTGTTAAAGCCATTGATTGTCAGTAAACTTGCCAGCTTGGCCATGGAGGAGCACAGGAGCCAATGCTCTCATAGCAAACCAAGCCGAAAAAGCCATCCCTCCCCAAAGAAGAAAATCCAGACCATTTTTTTTCCATATAGTTTGGTTATTTTGAACATCATAACTTTATTGAGACACCAGTAGTTACCACCTTCACTTTGTTAACCACAAATATATAGGACATTGTAAACACAGGTGCCGAGGTGGCGGGGTTCGCTGTAGTTGGATTTCGGAACAGACAGGGGCAGGGGAACAGGGAGGAGGGGTGAAGGGACACTCGGGCTTAGACAAGACCACTCAAGAGGATCCTGTATGCGGCAGGCCATCCATGAGTCATCATATATACGTACATCTCTTTAAATATATATATATAATATATATACTATACACAGGCAGTAATGTGGCAGGGGAAGTGGCCGGGCAGCCCAGGTGGTGTTACAAATGCCACACAGGCAGCAGGGAGTTGTCTGGATGGATGGTTTGAACTTGCTGCATGAGGTGGCCTCACTGGGCTCCTTGCCTTGTACCTGCTCTGGGGACTGGAGCTGAGACTCCTGTGGGAACCACTCTGCAATGCTGCTTTCCCAGGTCCTCCCAAGTGCTTGCGAGGGAGCAGAGACAAAGACACCTCCTTCCCTGTCAGAACTGCCAGGAATATGGCGAGGAAGGGTGTGTGTGATGAGGTGATGAACAGGGTGGTGGTTAGGATATGGGTGAGCCAGGGATGGGGACAGGTCAGGAGGCTGAAGCCACAGATAGAACTGGGGCAAAATTTCATCATCCCTTTGCCCTTCAGAGCCTCTGCTTCCACAAGGCACTCCCTTACTTGGGGGCTTTGTAAGATAAGAAGACATCAAGGGGACATTGTTCCCAACAGGGGATAGTAATCCTCTGTAATCTGGACAAATGGCAGAGGGAGAAGAAAGCTTCCTTATGATTTTGCTTATACAGCCTTCCCTCTGACCTCCTAATCTGTAGAGTGGGGCTGATATCACCCACATTTAGAATATAATAGACATGTTCTAGCCAGCTGTTCAGGTCTTGCCTATGATAACCAGAAATAGGCAGCACCTTATCAGAAGCGCCTAAGATAAGATAACCAGCCCTTTGGGTAGGTCTGTATGTCTCATCAGCTGCAGAACAAGCCAAATGCCATTGGAAATTGCATTTTGCATTTTAAAGAGTTACATGCAAACAAGGAGACTCCCCCCCCCAGGTCTGTCACCACCAACCCTCCACTGCAAAGGCTGAAAGCACATCAACCCAAGGAGCAGTATGTCTTCTGCCATGAGCAAAAGCAAGAAGTTGTCTGAGTATCTACTGTTGTAGTGTCCTCTGCCACACAAATGCCTTTCCTACAATGCAAAGCAAGGAGGAGAGGGACAGAGAGATGGGTAGTAACCCAGGATGAAGCCACCTGGCTCTGAGGGGGAAGCTCATACCTGCTTCAAGCCCATCTGAGACCATCAGCTGGTTACATGAAGGAAGCAAGCCAAAGAGGATAAAGAAAACCTTGCTCATTAGTCAGCCCCAAATGGTGTTTAGTCATCTACGTAACTCTGATGGGAACAGGGTATGTAAGATGCTCCTGCGCCACACCCTAAAACAGAGCCTCAGGTAGACCCCCCACATATTTTCCATACCTCTCCCTATGTGCCTGGTCCCTCACCCAGAGGGGACAGGCGCTGGAAAGTTCCATCCAAAAGGTACAACACATTTTTGTGCTCAGGGCTGGTTATTTATAGCATCCTCCTCCTCTCGGTTCCCTCCCTACACCCCAAATGAAAGCATGAAAGATGACACAGATGAGTTTGGGCGAGTACAACTAATTTCTCTCCTCCTCCACCTCAACATTTGTTTATTCTTCTCCCCCAGGGGGGAGATGGACTGGAGGGAACTCCCCCCACAGCCACAGTCATAACAAACCTCTCTCAATAAAGTAAACCCATCCCAAGCCTAAATATTAGGCTGAACCCACAGAAAATGAAGCTAAAGAGGCTTCCTTCCAAAAAACACCCCTCCTATTTACAGTATTGCGTTCACTCGCAGCCCCAGAGCAAGGGACGTGTACCCAGTCATTCCTGCTGTGTCCATGGGGCTAGCTGGTCCCCCTCTCCTGTCTTCACCAGTGGGTAACTACCAGCACAGTGAGGCAAGCCATGGGGAGGACAAGCCATGGCAACAGCCACCAGCAGCACAAGTCTGCTGGTAGGAGCAGGTAGAAACGGTGTCTGTATACAGCGGAGAACACTGCTCCACTTCCCTCTTGGGGGCCTGCTGCTCTACAGTCCCTACCCCATCCTGATCACTGTGGGGCAGATGGGAAGGAGTCACGCTGGGAGGAGGACTAGTAACTCCAGCGTCCTCCAGAAGAAATGTTCACACAGCCACAGGCCAGACCTGTGTCTCATCCTCCTGACTCCTAAGGGTGCTACGAGGAATAGGCTGGATGCTCAGCAGGAGCATCTGCAGATTTTGGATCTGCTCCCCATCTCTGCTATGGGGACCAGTGTTGTGTCAAGCAGGGTGGCTTCCAGGGCAATGGAGCTCCTCACTGCTGCAAGGTAAACCCTGCATCTTGTGCTCTGAGAGATGTCTGTGCCAGGGACAATTGTCCAGGTAGCTATTGCTGAATTATTTCCCTTCAGGGGAATTCTGGGAACCTGTCTTCACACAGAGACCTTGCTTCTATTCTAGAACAGAGTGGGCTTCCACAGCTTTGTCTTTACTTGAAGCAAAATCATGAGGAGTGTGGAATGATATCCATATGAGCTCTATTGAAGAGTCACTGCTGCCACCTAGGCGAGGCTTTAAAGCCAGCCAGGATCTGAGATGCTGCAGAAGAGCACTAAGGTATGGTCTGTGGCAAGTACAGAAAGACCAGTCCTCAGAGAGCTCAGTCTAGCCCCACCCAATTCTCTGCACACCAAGACCTCCTCCCCATCTGAGTGGGAGACAAAGTGCGGCTGTGCAGGGCAGCATCCTTCCCCACTTGGTTGCACCCCTGTGCAAGAGCCAGATGCATGCTGGCCATCCCAGCAGCAGCATTTCTTTCCAAGTAGTGTCCTGCTCCATTCCTGTGTGCTACAAAGATGGCATCACCAAGAGGCTTTGCAATGTTGTAGCAGAGGTAAAGAGGAAGGTAAGGACCTGAGGAGCAAAACTGTCTTTCTCCTCCTCCTCCTGCCCAGGATGAAAGGACAAAGCTCCCCTCTCCCCCTTGAACCAACCCAGCTGGGGTCAAGGACTCTCAGGGTGCCCAGAAGCCCACGTCCTCCATCCTTCCTCCCGGGGCACTGTATCTGGGCCCAGGGACTGGCATGGCTCCCCTCTTGCCTCATCAAACACTAGACTGAGAAGAGCAGTGAGCAGGATGCACAGCTGAGGGGAACTATCTCCATCTCAATCCCGGGGGGCTGGATCTCATGGCACTGCCCCTCTGCTCTGCTCAGTCTCTTGCTGTAACCTACAGACATGCCTGTGATTCCTGATTGTACCTGCAGATCTTCCTCTTTCCCTTCCCATTTTTTCTCTTTGTGCTCCCCCGCTCCAATATCACTTCTTCCCAAACCGTCTAAAAATAAAGCACCCTTCACTCACTAGCATGTGGCAGAGAAAAGCCCCCATCTTTACTGTTCCTGCTGCCCTCCAGGCCCCATCCTCACACTTGTGTATGCTGACTCCAACACCACTCCCCTCCCTGAGCCACCAGGTGCTCCAGACCAATTTGGATGCTCCCACATCTACTCCAGCCTTTAGCGACCCCATCTCTTCTAGGAAGGTCCACAGTCCCTCTGATTTCTTCCCTTCTGCCTTCAACACCCTCTCCCCTACCCTGCTGGTACCATAGCCACTCTCCTGCCCACCAGACACACTATGCCATCTGCAGCAAGGCAGGAGGGAGAGGAGGAAAGGGGGGACTTTCCTGTCACAATGCAGATTTTGGGAAAATTTGGTTCTGGCAGGTAGCTTGAGGGGAGAAGAGAAGGAAAAGGTGATGAGGAAACCTTTTTTTCTTTTTTTTTTTTCCTTTTTTAAAAACAATAAATAAAAACAGATGACCCAGAAGGCTGGAGCATAGCTGAGAGCCATCTCTAGTACCACTATGCACGTGTCTGGTTTGTGCCTCGGCTTTCTGCCGGCAGTGGGAAAGGGGGCAGAAGGGAAAGGAGAAGGGAAAGGGGCATCGGTGGCTCAGTAGTTCTGTGTTTGGTACCCCTGTGTCTCGGTGTCAAAAGCATCTGCTGGAGGGGGCTGCTGGTATGTCCCCACCGCATCTGTAGCATCCTCCTCGTTCGTGTAGGGAGCATAAGGCATGCCGGAGTCCTGGCTTGGGTCCATGTAGTCCTGGGAGAAGAGGGCCGAATCGGCACCCAGCTGGAAACGCTGATATGCCAGGAATGCCTGGCCCACCTTTAAGGGAGGAGGTGGAGGGAAGAAATGGGAAGCAGAGAGGGGAGGGAAGAGGAGAAAAAGAGGGGGAACGTACCGAAAAAGAGAAACAAACAAAAGTGGGGTTAGTAGTGGTTACGGATTAGTGCGCGAGGCCCGCCTGGCGGAGCACCGGTGAAACACCCCAAGAACATGGAAGTCCAGGCTGTCCCACAGAAAGCATGAGCCCATCAGGAGAGAGGAGCACTGGGCAGGGATGTCTGCAAGTGCAGCTGGCTGCGTGCAGCCTGCCAGGGCTCCCTTCTCTCTCTGGGATGTGATGGGCACCTCCTGCCTGGCAATGGGGTTTCACCAACATGGCACAGATCACAGAGGCTCAGTTGGCACGTGCTTATTCAATTCTGCCCCTCCTGCCTGTGGGAAGGCAATATCTGCCTCAGCAAAACCACAGCAGGTTCAGCTGCCAGGCTGGATGTACGCTGCCATTTGGCTTGGAGCGGTCAGGAAGAAGAGCAGGATTTGACACAAAGTAGTGAGGTAGAGGTCACCCCCTGTAACCCCTTCACCAGTCAACATCCACATGAGCACAGACCTTGGAAAGGAGCAGCAGGAGGCAAGGTGGCTGCTTCCTAGACCACAGGGTGGTCAGCAAAGTGCTGCCTCCTGCCCCAGGCAGGACACCTTTTGGTGAACTGAGGGAGCCTGGGCATAGGGTTCAGCACTGTGGACCCCAGCAGGCATGATTTGTTGTCCCAGAGCATCGATGATCAAGGTGAGCAATCTAGCAGGTGATGGGGGGAGAGGTTTTTGGGGAGTGAGGTCTGGAAAGAAATGGAAGAGATAAAGTGGTGGGGGCAGAAGGTATCTCCTGGCTGAAGTATTAGGTCTGAGCAGTCATCTAAAGAAAGGCACAGTGGTGTTACAGAGCATTAGTTAGGGTATGGGTGAGGGAGAGAAGGGAGCAGAGGAGGAGAAGAAATTGCCAGTTCCAACTCTCCAGAGGGAGATCCCCTGTTCAGTGGATAACCCCACTCCAGTTCAGTGGCCCATGTCTTCCCATCCTATGCCCTGCAGTGACCACACACCCATGGTCAGGGCACTGGAACCGGCTCTGCTCAGTGACCTCCTCCAGCTGCATCCCTCCACCCCTTCCCCCAAATTCTCCCATCAGCAAGGGGCACTAAGGCAGCAAGGATGGGGAGTTAGGGAACAGGGTATTGTATTCCTCCTGAAAATTAATGTCTCTGAGTCTCCGGAAAGCCAGAAATGCGAGGATGCCCTGTGAGGAGAGAAAGGGGTGTGGGAAGGAGAATCAGTAAGGTAGAGCAAACTGGTGTTTGAAATAAAAACCCCAAGGAACCAGGGGAAGAAGATGCCTGTTTAGCCACTCACAAGCCTGTGAACTGCAGAGGACCACTGTAGGTGATGGCACCTCAAAAAGGGTCCTGAGGGACCCCCTGCAAAAGCCTTGCTCCTTGTCAAACTTTCTGCTGGAGCTTGCAAGGGGATTTTGGCAGCACTCAAGTGCAGGACACAGCTCATGAAGGGAACACACACACTGATGTTCCTTGATCCTGCTTGGTGTGACCTTCCTCTCTGGCAGCTCTGTGGTCTTATGGTACCCTTTCTATCTGGACCCTGCCCAACGTTAAGGCCTGTAGGAAGGGGAGAAGACAAAGCCACAAGCACTTATGCATGGAGACAGGGTTAAAACGCTTTCCTGCTTGGAACTATCCTGTCACTTCAGAAAAAAATCACTCGTGCTTGGTGCTTTCAGAGGCAGGAGGAAATCATCAAGGACATTTATATTGCACACAGCAGTTCTTCCAGAAAACTAGCAATAAAGAACTGCTGGGGAAAGGGCAATCTTAAAACAGCACCATCACCTTCCTAAGAGACGACCCAGTGAGGCAGTGCTGCAGACAGACAGCCCAGGGGGACACTCATTGCAGCCTCTTGTGGCCAGTGGTGACAACTCATATGACAGGAGCACAGCAGGGAGGGAGATGGGTACAACCCCTGGCCTGGAGCTCCCTTCTCTATTTAGTGTCTGTGAGGTGAAAATGCCCTTGAAGTCCTTGATGCAAAGGGGAAACAGGTTAACAGGTTGTCCAGAGAGGTGATGGATGCCCCATCCCTGGAAACATTCAAGGTCAGGTTGAACTGGGCTCTGAGCAACCTGCTCTAGTTGAAGGTGTCTCTGCTCATTGCAGGGGAGTTGGACTAGATGGGCCTTAAAGGTCCCTTCTAACCCAAACTATTGTATAACTCTATGATAATGGTGCTTGGGGAGCAGGCTTGTCCACAGTCATACTGCAAGTCTGTCAAGGACACTACTTAATAGGATATGGAACTCTCTTTACCATTGTGCTTGTAAATGCTCTACAACCTTCTTTCATGTAAGTTTTTGAGTCCTTGTTTCCCAAGTTTACCTCCCAACCACCTCCCCTCCTGCTTTTCCTTCTCAGAAGCCATGTGAACTGAGATCCCAGAGGGAACCACTCTTAGCCAATCACCTTCCATTCCCCACAAGATAATACAGTACAGAGGACATTTGATCCAACATCATGACTCTGTACTCACCCAGGTGAAGATGGAGAAGAACGAGAACGTGATGGCTGCTCGGGCTGCATCCCCTCCCTCATTCAGTGGGTTGTCCTCTTCTTTTGAAGCTTGCCACTGGTTGGTTAGAAAGCAGAAGCCAACGAACCAGAGGAATGCCCAAAAGGCTGAGATGGACCACCATGGACATGCCAAAGGGGAAGGACAGAAGATGTGTGTGAGCAGAACACATACATATCACATTTCTCTGGAGATTTCAGTCCTCTGAGACCCACTAGGATGTTGCATAGCCAGTCTAAGCCCAAGTGAGCTGGTAAAGCTCACTGATGGCTACATTGTCAAGGTGACAATAGGTGTCTGCAGAAAGTACCTCTGGAGAGTTCATTTGCTTGTGTTTGGTTCGATCACAGGACTTGCATTTGGCCTTGGGAGGGAGCCTGAAGGGCTTCCAGTACTAGAGTGATCACCTGGGCTGTCCGAAACAGCCACTGCTTTACAACCTTATCCTGCAAGGACAAGCAAAGAGCAATTCCTTCTATGGGAGCTGCAGAAGAGTGGGAAGCAGCCGGCCTGCAGTTGCACAGAGACTGGCTTTTGTCAGCACAGCACAGCTCAAGGACTCGCATCAAGGAAAGGTGGTGAAGGACCATTAACATGCTGTGCCCCCAGGAAAGGGGTGAAGGTAAAGGGTAGCCTCAAGGGGGAACTTACTCTCTTTGCCAGGTGCAGGCAGATACCCAGCAGTGAGGGAAATGGACATTCCTAAGCAGCAGCAAAACAGGGCTCAGTCGCTCCCCTTCTCTTGTCAGCTGTAAAAGGAACTGCCAGGCAAAGGGCTAACCGTGGACAAACCCGCGAGCCCAATGTCCTTAGTAAGTTCAGATGCTTCATCTGATCCTGCCCTCACTCCACTTATGGCCCCTCTGGCATACTCTGGGGAAGGCCTGATGTTGAGCAGTTTGCCTGAATGGGTGGAGTAAGCCAGGAGAGTGACTGAGGATGACAGCATGAGAGCAAAGCACCTCCTCATGATCCTGCTGACTGGCCTTACACACACACATACACACACACTGTCACTCTGTCACTGTAACACACTGCTGGGGATGGAGAGATCTGACTATAAGTTAGAATAAGCCTCAGGGATGGATGAGGTCCTGAACAGTTATTCATATAGGGAATGCCAGGTAACCTAGGAGGACTGGTTAAGTCAGCCTGCATGAATCCCTCAACTTTTTTTTATGTTCAATCACCTGGAGCTGGAAAAGGAGGAAGTACTGTCTCCAGAGGCATCCATACTTGGTCTTAACAAGCACAAGGATGCAGGGAGCCAAGACCTGCTAATCCTAAAGGGCTCCCTGAGCTACACCTATGGAGAACAGCTGAGAGGCATCAGCTAGGTTGTCTGAGAAGAAGAGAAAGGGAAAGAAAAGGAGAGAGACAGAAAACCTGAGAGAGTAGGGAACATAAAGGCCTCCTTGCAAGCAGGAACCTGACCTGAAGGGCAGCAGAAGCTCCCTACCTCTCCCTTGCTGGCAGAGGAGAGATGCACTACAGCCAACCAGCCAGGAAGCTCACCCGAGACTCCGATGTCTGAGAGCACTGCCTTCTTGCGGTCCTTGACGCTGCTGATCTGCGGGAAGTAGGCATCCAGAGCCAGGTAAAGAAGGCAGCTGAGGAAGGCGAGGACACCCACGGTAATGCCATAGTTGCAGGCATTGTGATTGCGGTTGAAAATGCAGTGCTCTTCTGACTCGTCCAGGCGGTTCACGTACCCTTCATTGACAATGGAGCCAAACACCACAATGGAGAATATCTGGTGGGGAGGGAGGTGAGAGACATGTCAAAGCAAGCCCTATCTCTCCGGACCAGCACAAAGAAGCAGGGGAGAGACACTCTGCAAGCACATCTCTGCTCTGCTGAGCTCCCATCCTGCTCTCTTGCCTGGGCCGTAGCCACAGGGAATTTACTGGGGAGATGGTCTCATTTTATTTCTGAGGATTAACTTAAAATAGGACATTTTTAGATTGAACCTTTTTATCCATCTGACCTAAAGCAATGCAAAGCAGTTGCAGTCTGGAGTAAGGGTGGCTTCCCACAGACACACAGGGAGGCAACATGGAGTGTAAACTGGGATATGGTTTTGGTGCAGGTGCCTGCATACAATGGCTTCAAGTAGAGGAAATCCTCTTAGTCTGCACTTATTCTCCCACTCACTCCTTTCCCGTCAAGGGATTAATTGTTTCTACCATGCATTTGTTCACTGATTTTATCTATCAAGCTACTATGCTCTTTTCCCCATCCACCCTCCCACAATCCACAGCCCTGCTTGCTCTGCAGCTCCATTTTGCTGGGCTCCCGTTCTCCCAATCTCCCCACACATCATGCACCTCTCTCCACCAGTTTTCCATCAGCCCAGTCCATGACACCACCTATCCGTTTGCCCACTCACCTGTATGCCAACACCCTTCAAGCTTCCCCACAGATTTTAGGGGCCAAACATCCTTCCTCCAGGTCCACCTGTCAAGGCCACTGTGAGTCCTCCCTACTCATTGCCACCACTGCCACTGCATGTTATTTTAAATCAGGTAGAATTAAGGATGAGTCCAGGTAGAAATGCCCTAATCCGCAGTTGCTGGTCTAATCTTTGCTCATAGGCTTAGCCTTCGTCTCCTGCCACAAGGCTGTCCCTCTTTGACACAGCAGGTTCACCAAAGCAGAGAGCTATTTACAGCACCCCCAGTCCTGCATCTCAAATAAACAGCTTCCCCTTGCAGCCACAGGAGAAAGAGGGGAAGATCAAGGCAGCATGTACAGATTTTTCTTTGCAGGGCATCTGGAGACTCTCAGTAGGAACAGCCACCTGCAGGCTGCCTGCAGGAGTCTCAGGGAGACAGGAAATGGGACCTCAGGCATGGGATGAACTTACATCTAACAGGCACTAAGACATCACCAGGGCACTATGCCAGCCCAGGAGATTTCTGCACAACAAGACCTGGCACCCTTGGAACCACCACTCAGTCCCCAAGGAGAAGCAGCACACAAGAAGGTGAAGAGGCCAAGTCTCCTGCAGGGAGTGGAGCTAGGTCTGAATGTTTGCTAGGTCAGAAGGACCCCAGTACCACTTAACCCAACCAAGCACCAGAAGATAACCCAGAAAGCAGAAAAGTAGCTTTGTGAGTTCAGGGAAAATTGCTGATTAATGACAACCCAATATGCCACTTATCATTGGTGGGGTTGGACGCCTGAGATCCACAGCACAGACCTCTGCTGTTTGGCCTGTGGCTTCAAGAACGAGAGGAAAAACCTTACTCACAGTCCCCAACAGCCCTTGGGCAGATACTCAACACCAACCATGTTTCACCTGCCAAACTCTAAAAAGTAGTCACTGACACATATTATTTTTTCACTCCAAGACTCACACTTGCATTGCTGAAATTGGGTGTATCACACTAGAGCAAACTAAAAAAAGCTGGGAGCTGGTGTTCCTAAGCACAGAGACTGTATGGGTTCTCTGAAAATTCATGAGAGCTTTTTAAGCTTAGAAGTAAAACAACTGATTTGTCTTCCTCCTTCTTGAAAATTGAGATTGATCATATTTTGCAGAAATTGCCTGTGAAAATTAAATAAGAATCTCTTCTGCCAGAATCAAAAAGTTGATCCTCAAAATTTCAGCTTGAATGGTTTGGAAAGCAGCAAAATTGTACACAATTACAGCCAGGCTCCTTCAGTGGGACGTCTCACACACCTTCACAACAGGCTGGGCTGACAGGTCTGCCTGGGACCACTGACAGTAACACCCTGTTCCTCTGACCTGAGGGGGAGCCAACAGACTCCTGAAGTGACATCCCAAGGTGAGGCTGTGACCAGCACCGATGCTGACACCTGAAGTACCAACCTCCATATATTGTGATTACAAGGTGGGTGCCCTGTTTTCTGCAGCACTAGACAGAAAGCTTATCTTCTCTTTGGGAGATAAGGAACAGCCTCAAAAGTGGCATAGTCTGGTGTTCAGTTTTGGTTTAGGGCTCAAAACTGGTAAAATGTTGATTCCCTGAGTCAGGTCAACCCTTGCAACAAGCTGTATTGTGAGTCTGTGCTTACTCATTCGAGATGAATGAACTTCAGTAATGGCCTGTCCCCAGAGACACCTCTGTTTACTCAGCTTATATCCTGATACATATCTTCCCTCTGCTCTTATCTTTGGATTTGCTGCTTGGCCTGGAAGGGCTCTCAACTGCGAGCAAAAGAAGCAAAATAATTCCTTTTTGCATTTGATCTTTCATACCTTTTTATGCTGGCATGTCATAGAGGCCCAGCTCAGAGTCACAAGACCAAAGGAACATCTCCCTCTCCCTAATTTTCAAGCAGAGGTGGCAGTCCTAACTTCCTTTCTCCATCTTCAGTCAGGCAAAACACCACAGCTTCTCTCCTATGAAGAGAAACCTGTTTCACAGCCTGGAGGTGCCCAAGGTATGATTTACAGGCAAATATCTGATTTCAGATGATCTTACGAGTTTTCTGGGGAAATTCCACTAAATGTGTTCTCACTTGTGAGCAGAACAAGACACTGCAGATGCTTATCTTCTGTGTCCTGAAACAGCTACCCCAAAGTACTCTCTGTCCTTAGGGAAGCTTTCAATGGACCAAAGCACAGTAGCTTAAGGGATGTCTCCTTCTATCTGTGTGTTCCTCACCACTGGCATCAGCTCTGGTCCATGCTCCACTCCTCAGCACTGCAGAGAGGGCACGGAGAGGGCTTGCTTCCTTTGCCAGCCTGTCACCACCCTGACGGCACAGTAAAATGCTGTGAGGACCCACTGTGCACAGAAGCCTTGAGCTGGGCTGAATAACACCAACTGGGCAAGAACAGGCAAGCTCAAACCAGAGGTTCCAGACTGACAGGCAGAGCTGGACAGCAGAAGAGGCAATTGCTGCTGCTGCTGCTGACAGGCAACATTGCCTGTTTTATTCCTGTGATGTCTATACACAGAAACCATTATGACAAACAGTTTTCTAAAAAAAAAAAAAAAATCATAATTATGAGAGCTCAGATCTTGCAGCCCTAAGGAGAAACTGTTGCACACTTCGTCCATGGCAGCTACTCCTTGTTGGTAAGGGAGCAGGTGGGTGGAAGCTCATTGATGTGGCAAGTCATCTTAGAAAGAGCAAATATTTTTTATTTCCTTGATTTCACAATCCGTGCTCTGCAAAGATGATCCAAGCCGCAGGTGCAACATGAATGACTGCCTGGATTATAAACAAAGCACCAAGTTTTCAAGAATGAAGCATTTACGTTCCCATTCCCATCACATCTGCAGCACTTCTGAAGAAATGCCAGCAACAAGCAACACTGGCACAAGCCTCTTACTGCTCTGCATTATCACTGCTTGTTTCTTCTCCCCCCATTTGGCATAGCCAATCTTCGCTGCACAGAGTCTTGCCTATGGCCACTGATAAAATGGTCCAAAATACGCATCCAGCTCCAAAGATGAGGTGAGGAGAAGATGGCAGGAGTCGTCTTCTGACTAAGCACCGAGATGCAGGCAAGTGGCTTGTCCGCAGGCTGACAGGAGGCATCCCGAGATTCCCATAATTTCACTCTGCTGAGGGAGGTGCTAGCCACTTTCCTGTGCTCGGTGACAAAAAACAGCCAGCCATCCCCAGCTTTGGGCACTTGAGAGGCCTCATTTCTTCAGCAAGGCTGCTGAAGTCAGCTAACAGGGCTTGAAGTAACTAGATTTTTTGGCTAAGATTTTTAGGTTCCTTTAAGCCTCCAAGAGCAGTGTTAATTGGGCAGGTGTGCAGGGACAGAAAACAGCACTTGGAGAAGATCTGACCAACTCATTCCTGCTCCTGAGACCCAGCTTTTCTCCACTTTGCCTCTCCTTAAATGTTACATTCACACAGGTTGTTGCAATCATTTTCCTTGACTCCTGTTTTTATCCAAGAGCTCTGAAGACACCAAGTGAAGCCCAGAGCCAGGTGCACTGCAAAGCTGACAGAGACAGAGCAACTTGCCAAAAGATGCAGCAAAATGAACTTAATGCTTAGTACTGTGCGGAGGAGACGGGGAGAAGCTGAGAGGTTTCCTCTCCTCATTTCTCATGGGGCTCATGCAGCCTATTACAGGCATGTAAGGGCTTACTACAGTGAGAAAATTGCAGAACAGGCAAAATTCTGCACCCTACCAAAACATACTTTTTTTCCCCCCTCTTGCTTAACTCGCTTATCTGATTTTGCCAAAACCAAAGGTGAGTGGTGAGCCCTCAGAGGAGAGGTTCTCCAGTCCCTCCCAACCTCCCCAGTGCAGGCTCAGCCCTGCAGAGAGCTGGGCAAAACCTCCTGAGCATCATGTGAGGCTTTCCACCACACTGCCCATCCCCAGCCGTGCATCAGATGCTCCTGAGCATCATGTGATGGATGCAAAACACAGCCAGCCTCTGGCAGTGCACTAGGATTTTCCTGCTCCTCATCCCAGGAGTTTGTCATGCTGCCTCCTGACTTCATCCCCAAGATCCCCAGGATGGCTGTGGTGGGGATGAGGCTGAAGAGGGTTTCTGCTGAGCTGCCTGCCTGGGCTCACTGCAATGCCCGCCGGCCACAGCCTCTGTCGCACTGCCTGCTGCCTCTCCCTCTCTCACCCCCCCTTTTTATCCTGTTATAGAAAGGAAATAGTTTGGTGACATAATGTTCCTTGTGGGACTTCAAATCAAATCCCCCTCGGGAAGAATGAAGCGATAACCTCTTCTGAGTCTGATCTGGTAATGACCAGGAATAAATCTGTTTAAAAAGAAAGCAAGAGCAGGGAAGAAT